CTCTTGATGTTAGATATACACAAAGTATCGTCAAATGTAAAAATGTTTGTATGAATTAAGTATTATGGAACCAATATAAGTAATAAGGATTTTATCGTTGTGGATGGATAAGTTTTGCAAATCAAATGTAATATGATGAGAAGTACTAGAATTAATAATCCAGTAACTTGGATAAGAAGTTAGAGTAGTCATGATATTTGTTTGAGGCCAATTAGGTGTGGCAATAGGCTTGGGTTGAGATAGACAAACTTTTATTGTATATCTAATTTTATCATATAGCTAACAGATGAATTTATGTTGATTATTATTGTTGGGATATCGGAATTGTCGATAGTTATAGTTGAAGTTATTTTTTGATTTGTTTACATAAAAGTTGCCACCATGGTTGAAAGGTTGATAGTATAATAAAGGATTATGGTTCTTTGTGTCTCCTATATGTTTATATAGGACATGTTGTTCGATCTTTTATTGAAGCTCTTATTATTTTAATTACTTTTTTTTTTGATTTTTGATTGAATTAAATTGTGATAGTTGGTTCATCGTCTTTTAGCATTTTAGATATGTTTTATTATTAATCAACTTGTCATATGATTTTTAAAATGATATTGATAAGTTATATGTCCAAATTATTATTGTCAATTATTTATATTCGTCTATTAAACAATTGAGAGCATGAACGATAACTTCTTCATCATTCAAAGAATATTAGAGTCAAATTATTTATCATAAATTTTATATTTTATATATAATCAACAAGAGTACTTTTTTTATATGTTTTCATCAAATAGATAAATCGTAACTAAATTAAAAATATAATTCTATATTTTAATGATATTCTATCAGAACACAGCCTGAGCTCCGTAATCCCGAAGCTGCAAGTGGTGGACGGGCTGGTCCTCGGAGGATGAGAGTCGGCGTTCCCATTCTCATTCCGAGACCGAGGTCGAAGGCAGCCACGATAAAATGCCCGTGGAATCCGGCGGACGGTGGTCGCGCAACCCATGCTCGCCATGTGTTCGGTGAGGTGCTTCAATGGCCGAATTATTTTGAGCAGCAGCAACATCAATCATGGAACTCGTTGGTTTGTTCTCTCCTTGCTACGAACCATTTCCCATCAGATCCAAAGAGAAGAAAGAGAAGGTGGTGAGCGCATGTTTTGGATGATAGCGTATGGTTCGACATGTCTGATGCTGTGGTGGGATTAGGTGTGACGGACGAATGAACAAAGATGATAGACTTCGAGCAGCGCAGCTCTAATGGGACTGATGGAATTCAAAGAAATTAGGTGTATACCCATTTGGTTGATTGGAATGGCATCATCCAATTGATCTAAAAATCCAAACTATAACACCCAATGATATATCAACTCATAGACTTTTAAGCGATCGAATGCCATATGTGTTGCATGTGCATACAGTGGGCCAACGCTAAATCCAAATCACTTCATAATCATCACCTTTCCTACATTTTAAATGTATTCTTTTAAGGAAAGGACTACTCTCTCTCTCTCTCTCTATATATATATATGTATATACATATATATATTCTAAAATCATCCTATATAATCTATTAATTTGATGGTTTAAAATTTCTGCAGCTTGTGAAAGTATACATTTAACGGTGACAGCTGCAACCCATCTACTGCCATGGAGATCAATGCTTGGTTGCTTCAAATGGGCAAGGACGACGCCAGCCTCCTTGAGTTACAAGACATTTGACTTTTCTTCCCTCAGCTACAGCCAACTTACCTTGGCGAAGAAGACTTGGAAGTAGCAGGCAAGCCCTCACCATCAACGTAGAGTTCAAAGCTCAGGGCAAGTGGACACGCGATTCGGAGCTGGAACCTGGTTCCTCGCCTTTGTGCGGCATATGCTTGAGCTCGGTGGGCCTTAACACGAGTTTAATATCCGTCCCAACACCGGACCAAGGACTCCGATGAAAGAACCCGTCGTTTTCCTTCTTTGTCCTCTTTCTTCCTTCTCTCTACCACTCGAACACGCCTCTTCCTAATTCCTGTTGCTTCTGCCGCCTCCTCTCCTCTTCGGCCCACATGAGATGCGATCGCCTGGCCGGAGAACGGTCGTTCTCTCATCGAGGACTCCGGCTATGAAGCGCCCGCTGCTGAGCAGCGCCCGGAAGCATGGCAGGAACCCCGTGTCCGTTTTCCTCTTCTTTGTCTTGATTCTCGTCGTGTTGATGTACAGCGAGGACTTCAACTCGATCGCCGACTACTCCCTCAGGAATTCTAGAGCGAAGTCCCAGGAATTGGCCCATCAAGAGCTCGCTATAGCTAAACCAAGACACGAGGGACTTATCCTCGATAGCACAAAGGTAGCAGAGGAGGAGGCCGAGGAGGAGGAAAGGAAGGAGGCGCGACCGGTGTTGCAGAGGGAAGGGAGCGACGCGATTGCCAGAGAACAACCGCCAACTGACGAAGAGGGCCGCCAAGAACCCGAAAGGGAGGGTGCAAGGGCATCGGTGACCGTCAACGTGACGCAGGTGGCCCGGTTGCCGTCCGCCAGGAATCAGGGGCACGAGCAGCAGTCTGTCATATCCGACCAGCACAAGTCGGAGGCGAAGCCGCAGCGCGTAGTCCTCAACGTGCCGGAGACTTGCGACCTCTTCGAAGGCCGATGGGTCTACGACGACGTCTCCTACCCGCTTTACAAAGAACACGAGTGCCAGTTCCTGACGGAGCAGGTGACGTGCATGAGGAACGGCCGCCGCGACGACAACTACCAGAAGTGGCGGTGGCAGCCCCGGGACTGTAGCTTGCCGAGGCATGTACCCATCCTTGGTATCAGTTCTAATTCGTCCTACTTTTGGATTCCTTATATTGCTTGAATCTAATAGATGTTCTGGATTTGATTTCTGTTGATGTTCATGCAGATTCGACGCGAGAGTGCTGCTGGAGAGGCTGAGAGGGAAGCGTCTCATGTTCGTGGGGGACTCTCTCAACAGGAACCAGTGGGAATCGATGGTGTGCTTGGTCCAATCCGGCATCCCATGGGGCAAGAAGACTCTCACCAAGAACGGCTCGCTCAACGTTTTCAGAGCCGAGGTAGCAGGACTAATCTGCACCCAGAATTTCTTGTGGATCGGGTTACATTTAGACGAGGTCTTTGATCCTCTTGCATGATGGCAGGATTACAATGCTACGGTGGAGTTCTACTGGGCGCCGTTCCTGGTGGAATCGAACGCCGACGACCCCAGAATTCACAGCGTCCCGAACCGCGTCATCACCAATTCGATCGCCAAGCACGGGAAGCATTGGAAGGGCGTGGATTACTTGATCTTCAACACCTACATCTGGTGGATGAACACACCCAAGATGACAGTCCTGTGAGTACTAATCTCCACCTGATGACTTCGAGCTAATTGTTGCGCCGTTCATGTTGGTCCGATGACGAGCTTCCAATTCCATGGCAACAGGCGAGGATCGACCAAGTACAGTAGGATCGAACGGGCTGCAGCTTACAGAAGAGTCCTGAGAATATGGGCGAGGTGGGTGCACAGGAATGTGAATCCCAAGAAGACGATGGTGTTCTTCATGAGCCTGTCCCCCAACCACATGAGGTTAGCTCCGAAGCTTCCTCTCCCTCTCGCGGTTCACTGAATCCAGCTAATCAGAGTCACATCATCACTTTTCTTCCTCCAATAGCTGTTTCAGTGAGAACAGCCAAGGAGATGTCCACTCACGGTCCATATCCGTGTGCCGAGCCACACGGTGCCCGGTGGTTCTCTCCTTAATTATGGAGTAATCTAGTCGGTTAAGGTGTCTGATATCATCTCGGCCGACATTGAGGGGAGGTTTGTCTTCCTCGCATGGCCTGATCAGAGCAACACCTGTCGTCATATGAAGTTGACTTTTGAAGGGGGGTAAACCCCGGTTTCCGTGGTCACCACAAAGTTATCTTCTTTCATGCCTTGAACTCGAGTCTTTTGAGAGAAGAATTGCGTCAGTTTAGATGAGTGAGGAATCCATGGCTTGTTGATGACAACAGGAGCGAGGACTGGGACAACCCGGAGGGGATCAAGTGCGCGCTGGAGACGATGCCGGTGACGGACATGTCGCGCCCACTGGAGGTCGGCACGGACTGGCGGCTGTTCGCGGTGGAGGAGAGCGTGATCCAGTCGATGCGGCTGCCGGTATCGTTCATCAAGATCACGGCGCTGTCGGAGTTCCGCAAGGACGCGCACACGTCGGTGCACACGCTCCGGCAGGGGAAGCTGCTGACTGCGGAGCAACAGGCCGACCCCGCCACCTTCGCCGACTGCATCCACTGGTGCCTCCCGGGCCTCCCCGACACCTGGAACGAGTTCCTCTACGCCCGAATCGCTTCCCGGCCATGGCCCAACCAACACACACACACACACAGATCACACACAAATCTTTCGGTCTCTCACCTAGTACATTGATTTTGGTATATCTTCCGCACAATTTTACCTTGTTTTGATTGGGGATTTGTGGGATGTCACCGAGTTGGGTTAGGTGACAGCAACACGACGTTCACCGCCATTGAATGGTTGCCACCCACACGTCGTGATCGCTGTGAGCGCATGCTGTACGTCATGTGGTCACACGGCCGGGGTGGAAAAAGGGACGCAGCGTAAAGAACCAAGAGAACGAGAGCGACACAGGTTTTTCCTGTTTCTTCTCTTTTTTTTTCTTTTCATTTCTTATTTCGTTTTTCATGTGCGAAAATTAGATATAGTTCGAATCAAATGTAGGTGGGAATGGTTGAGTGAATTCAATCAGGTTGTGGTCTGATCCATTGGGATTGGCCCAGTCTTGTTCATCATCTCTGGTGGCCTGGAATTTGGCCGACGCATCTCTCAGCAGACCGAGTTGAAAGCACCCAAAGTAATACGTTATTGCGACATCAACTTGATCGCCCAACGAAGAGAAGGGAAGAGAATGACTGGCGTCGTCTGCCAGCCATTATTCAAGCGTGAAACAAATTGGATGTAAGCAGAGGTTAATGAGGGTGAAACCATCGTGAACACAAGTGATACAGCAAGAAAGAACAGCAACAAATGGTCTCACAGGATCACGAACGCCACAAAGTCGATTAAACCAAACCACGGACTCCATTGAAGCAGACCACAAGAACCACACACGTTACCATTCAGAGGTCGGATACTGAGACGAACGCGGCACAAGACGACCCCAACACTAACAGACGCAAACCCCAACCCACGCCCACCGGCTGCTCCTCACCCCTACATCCACCATCCCTCACTTGGTCTCGTCGACGTCGCCGCCCTCGCGCATCGCCCCTCCGACTCCGGTGCTGTGCCCGCCCTTGCGCCCCATCTCCTGGTACCCTTCCGTGCCCAGCTGCTCCTTCCTCGTCTGCCCACCGCGGCTACGCCCTGGACCCGACGTTATACCATCGCAACAAGATGACTCAGATCGAAGAAGCTTCAAAACAAGATCAGCCTTCGTGCACGTATACCTTCCGCTAGGTGCTCCTGCGCCTCCAGGCTCTTCCCGCCCGTTCCGCCGGGGACGACGGTCTCACCCTTCCTCGCCCTCTCGTCGAGTTCGCGCCGCTCCTGTTCCGTCGACATCGATCCTTCTAACTCGCACCTTTAACGAGAATCTATGTCACGTTGTAGCCATCATAAATAGAGACGGAAAGACCACGGGAGATGGACGGAGAGCGTGCCGCGTACGAGTTTACATGGACGAAACCGAGGGTTCATGGTTTCTGGTGGCGACACGTCGGGCGTATGTGCAGGAAACAACGACACGAATCCACTGTTTGCATGACCGAGGGAAGTCCTGAGAAGAACAACACATACTAAACGTATTTTAATGCCACCGGGACGACTGTTTTGGGCTGGCCGAGGTCGAGAACAGATGCCGAACTTATCAAGGCAGTGTCTTCCTGTGATGTGTCATTTTCATGCTTTTCCTTCCCTCGAAATGAGATGCCGGATTTGATTCTAATGGTCAGTCAACATTGACCGGTCCGGTCTTTCTCACGTCACGGGTAATGTCCCCTGACATGCACCGACTCATGACCAAGAAAAGCAGCGGGTGCCTGCTCGGCGAAGGTTAGCCGCTATGTTTTGCTGGTGCAGTGTTTTTGCCTATTTGTCTCGCTTTCCACCGGCATGTGGCCCTCCTCATGTTGGCAGCCCGCAGCTGCTTCCCGTTCCATGCGCTCTTCCTGTGGTTATGTGGATCTTTGTCCCATTCCTCCATTCATAATGTCACAGGAAGAACTTGATGCGACCTAATTGAATGAACGCCAATCTCATGACCTGCTAAGCTGACTCGAGTCACATAACTAAGGCCAAAATGTGAGGCCTGCGACCGAACCCTACTCCCGGAAAGGGAAAGTAGGCGTGTTCACCAACTGGTATGCCGGCGAGGACTTGTGCACGTCTCCTCCTGTCCCAGACTTGGCCAACATGCGTCGTGTGTTCCTGCTCTGCATCCACAAGCCATGAATCCCCCACCCACTTAGCCCACCTTCACTTCTCCAACACGGTCCACACCCAAACGACATTGATCATCCACATCATCCACGCCATTATCCCCCCACCGAGTCGACTCAGCCTCCACCTTCATCCTTTATATAGTTGGCCCCTCCCAGCCTGCGTGCTGTTATCCAACACTGGAATCCCCTCTCTTCCAGAGTTCAAACCTTCCTCAAATGGAGCGCTGCATTGGGAGCTGGGTCAGGGGAAGCCCCGTCGGAGCTGGTTCCTTCGGCACCGTCCATCTCGCCTTGCACGAATCCACCGGTTACGTTTCTGCCGTGAAGTCTGTCAGTCTGAGGTCATCTTCTCCTGCTTCCGTCTGGTGTTTGGAGAACGAGATCCGAATCCTCGAGTCCCTTTGTTCGCCTTACATCGTCACCTACCTCGGCAACGACACGAGCCAGGAGCCTCGTGCCGGTACCTGCCGGAACCTGCACGTCGAGTACATGCCCGGCGGCACGGTGGCGGGTTCCGCTGCGGCGAAGGGTCGCTCCATGGACGAGCTCCAAGTGTGCGCTTACACGCGCTGCGTGGCGCGAGCACTTCGTTACCTCCACGACGTCGCCGGAGTCGTGCACTGCGACGTCAAGGGCCAGAACGTCCTGTTGGGCCGCGACCGGGGCGTGGCCAAGCTCGCGGACTTCGGCGCCGCGTTGAGGATCGCGGGCGCGAGCGGGGTCGGAGACGGGCCCAACTGGGTGCGCGGGACGCCGCTGTGGATGGCGCCGGAGGTCGCCAGAGGGGAGCTGCCGACACCAGCGTCGGACGTGTGGTCGCTCGGGTGCACGGTCATCGAAATGGTCACCGGAGCACAACCCTGGCCTAACATGGCCGCTGAAGATGCGGTTGGAGCTCTGCTCAAGATCGGCTGCGGCGACGAGATACCGGAATTCCCGGCTCGGCTGTCGAACATGGGCCGGGATTTTCTCGACAAGTGTTTGAGGAGGAACGCAAGCGAGCGGTGGACGGCGGAGCAGCTACTACGGCATCCTTTCTTGGCCGAAGAAGTTGCGATCGCCGAGCCATCGCCGCGAGGCGTTCTCGAGTGGGCTACTATGGAACTCCACCACCACCACCGCGACGACGACGAATATGCTAGCTGTAGCTACGATCACGAAGACGACGAGGTGATGGCTTGCGCCAGAGGAAGAATGAGGGAATTGGCTTCGGACGGAGAAGTTCCTGGTTGGCGTGGTGATGACTGGAAGCTGGTAAGGGACTCGGACGAGGCTAATTCGGTAAACGACATGGAGGAGGAGATTCTTGTGGAAGGGATATGCCAGGAATGTTCAAGCGTTCGCAGTGTTGGTGAGCCAAGTGGGGTTGGGTTGTTCGATGGAATCAGATGCTCTGCTTCTTCTTGTTGCTGTCAATGTTGGCGTTGTTGCTTCCGTGAGTGTGGCTTGGGCTGGCAGCATGGGGTTGGAATGCTGGCGAGTTGGGTCTGTTGCAGTCATCACTCGTTGTCACAACCAGTGGAAATCAATAAAACTCGAAACTTTCCATTGTTATTTTTCCTTGTTTTGGTATGACCCTGCAGATTCTTATTCCTTTGTTCCATACAATAATATTTAGGAGCATGCTTTCGTTCGATGAAACTTGGTTATGATCCGACCACACGGAACTTTTTTGGGTCGCATCTTTGGAGTGCCGCGGAGCGAGTCATGGACGTGTCGGAGCATGACAACGTTGACTACCGCAAAATGAGGGGTGGGAGTCGTCGAACTCATCATGTTGGCTCATGATTTTGCTGAGTCAAAGCGAATTTACACGATTCCAGTTAACGATCATTGGTTTGGTTGACCGCTCGGAGCGTGTGACGCTCCTCGAAACATTAAAGAACTCCGAAACGATCGGCATCTCTCTCGTACTGCTCCAGTTTCTTACGGTTCAAAGGGCTGCTGATTTAAGAACTCTCGGTTGGTCTCATAATGCTCCAACCATGCAGCTTTCACTCGTAGATTGGGCCTCATATGGTTCGCATTACATATAGATTCATGTTCGTGTTTTGAGGTCTTTAGGAAGGAAGATAGCATCCGAACACTGATTTATGTTATTTTTGTTGACCTATAAGAAATGAACACAAAAAGCTTCCATCAAGAGAAAACACCATTGCCGATCAGCTGTAGTCTCGGAGGCAAGCATGAGATGAAAGTGCATTGCACTTAATTACATGATAAATATATCGGCAACTATGGGCTGTTTGATTCATTGTTGCCACTCGAGTGCGACGACTTCTGCTGCGGATTTGGTGCCCTGCTGTTGGCAGAGCAGACTCCGGAGCCCCACTCCAGCAACTCTTTGCTGGTGTCATCCTTGTGCACGATGACCTCGATGAAGCGTAGGCAGCCCCGCTTCCACCCCATCGCCGTCTCGATCGCCTCCTTCAACTCCTCCTCGTGTCGCACCTGCACAAACACGGAGCTTAGATCCATGGCAAACAGAACCCTATTGCCTGTACCAGCTTGGACGTTTACCTTCGTGGATGGCGTCCACCAGGCCGGTGTAGTCCCAGTTCTTGATGACATTTTAAGGCCCGTCGTGGATCTCCACCTCGATGGTGTACCCGCCGTTGTTTATGAGGAAGATGATGCTGTTCTGCCCGCCGCGCAGCATCGTCGACACGTCCTGCGCTGTCACCTGCGGTTCACGGCCCGGTTAACGCATCACAACCCCCACTGACGCACGCGCCATATCACAAACACATCGCATCGTGAATCGGAACGGGTACCTGAAAGCTTCCGTCGCCGATGAAGGCAATCACACGCTTGCTGCCCTTCACGGCCTGCCTGCGCGGAACCCAGAGTCACCCCGACGGACCAGCCGATGGATCCGCACTGTATTTGGAACTCGTATCTGAGGAGCAAAAGCCAAGTTAGATCTTTCTCCGGTGAACGATCCAAAGAAAGCAGTATGCGTTAGTGTGAAGTGCATGCACCCGCAGATCGAGGGCGCCTACCCGCAGCCTTCAGGCAACTTCAGTTTCCGGCAGTTGAACCACGAGTCGCAGGCCTCGGCGATGACAGCGGTGCTTCCGGACAGCATCTTTCGGACATGCTTGAAGAGCACGTTCACCCGCGCCGGCTCCTTGGGCTTGCATTCCATCGGCTGGCCGTGGGGCACGAAGATGACTTCTTCTTTGACTTGTCTTCTTCTTCTTCTTCTTGAGGAGCGATGAGTATCTATAGGAAACCAGATGCTGTTTTGGATCAAATGTTGGACTTCGCCGGTACCATTGGCCGTCCGATTGCGGCGCGGTCCTACGGACAACTTGCATGTGAGACTTCCAAGTCTCACTTGTGATGTATGGCCAACTGCATGAACCATCAGCTTATTATCGATGCTGCATTACCACTATAGATAAACCATCTTAGATAGGTTCGAAACATGACTTATGAGTCCTGTTAGTGTAAACAACTTTATGTTGTGACCTCGTGGCCAACACGGCTTGGTTCGGGTCCGAATGGGCGGGGACCTCATACGGCGTTCCTTGAGACCGCCGAGGTGGCCGATTACGGTGGTCCGGTCGGGACGTTGCGTCAGGAGGGAAGCTTTTCCGTAGCGCCGGGAAGAAGTGACCCCGTCCTTGTACCTGCACACAGGTCGGGTCGGAAGCTCGACCCGACCCCTTCGACGATCAAGTTAGTGATGGGAAGTGGTATGTTCTCTTGTCTATTTTTTCTCCTCCCTTCATCGTTTAGAACATAGGGGTATTTATAGGAAATTTTAGTGTTACCTTATGTGCATGCCCGCAGAAGCAGGATCGTACCTCTGATGGCGTCTGACATTGCCGTTGGCGTTGCGTGAAGAACCGAACTGCCGCAGGGCATGGGCGTGTCTCGGTCGTCGTTCTCCTCTGCCTCGGCCAAGCATGTTGGGTCAGACAACGTTGAAGTCGTTGTCTGAGAGCGGGTGACGTCAGCGCACATCGCGTCGATATTATTGCCCTCTTTGGGCAGAGTGTTGTCCAGGCGTGGCTGACGTCGTGGCGCGTCATGTCGCCATTATTACCCTCATCATATTCCCCCCTGAAAGAAGCTATGCGTTAGTTGTTGCAAAAGGGGGAGTCCGAGGCATGGCTTCAACCTCCAGTACCGCGGTAGTTTCAGGCGACATGAGGTCGAGCACATCTCGAGCGACATGGGGCCGAGAAGCACGTCTCGGGCGGGTAGGCCGCGCCGAGGGGGTGGTCTCGGGTGACATGAAGCCGAGGAGCACGACGTAGGCGGGCTGGCCACGCAGGTGTGATTACGGGCAACACGCGACCGAGGAGCACGACGCAGGCGGGCTGCGGCCAAGGGGTATGGCTCAGGCGGGCAGCATGAGGCCGAGGAGCACGATGCAGGCGGGCTGGCCGCGCAGGCATAGTTCGGGCAACACGCGACCGAGGAGCACGACGCAGGCGAGCTGGCCGCGCAGGTGTGGTT